ACTGGCGAGAATGAGGCATTGAGGAGGTGTTGCTATTTCTGATCTGGGAGGAACCTGCAGAGCCTGCTGCTGTGAGGATGAGGAAGTTGTCTCAGTTTGGCACAAATGCTTCCATCCTCTTATCTCTTGTCCACCATTGATTTATCACGTCCCTTTCTCTGTGCACATGGTCTTGACCTCAGAATCCTTCTCAAACACATTCTAGGCAGCCAGTACCAAGCAAGCAGAGTGGCTTCTTGACATAGAAGAAAAGTTTCAGTTGAGTAATCTTAGATCGTAATAATCACTCCCCCTACGAGCTTTAAGGTTAACACTCAGGGTGAGCAATCTCCAAATTAACAGCCTTCAACATGTGGTCTGTGTTTTTTTCATGTTTGTGATTCTATTTAGATGTGAAGTGCTTAAAACATTTAAAATTTTATTGGTTGTAAATATCATGAACTATTTTATGGGTAACAATAAAATTGTATGACATAGAGACCTTCTCACAATTTCTAAACGTGGAATTACACATAGGCAACCATAAGCTGTCATGAGAGTTTTTTTAACCATCTTGGTACTCTCACTTCAATGATGCTTTAAGCACACGGGACTCCTGTGCATGCAGCTCACTCCTTGTTCTCAAGTCCTGCTGGATTCCCAGTCTTCATGGCCTCCTTATAAGTCTCAGCCCTGCTCCAGTCTCCAAGATCAATCCTGATTTCTGCCGAAGGCATTTAAGCAACTTTGGGATACGCTGAGCCCCAGTATCTGGTCACCTGTAGCTTTTACATGAGATTTTACAACCAAGCTTCTACTTAGATCCTATTTAAAATTGAAACTCAGAATTAGATATTGCTATTAAAGAGTTAATATTTGTATCCTCCAAAATCCACGTGTTGAAACCTGATCCCTAATGTGAAGGTATTTAGAGGTAGGGCTTTGAAAAGCGATTACATCATGAGGGTGAGGTCCTCATGAAAGGGATTAGTGCCCTTATAAAAGAGGCCCCAGGGAAATCTCTTTCTCCTTTTTGTCAGGACACAGAGAAAAGGCAAAAAGACAGCAGTGTATGAAGCCGGTCCCCACCAGACACTGAACCTACTGATGCCTTGATCTTGGACTTCCCAGCCTCCAGGATGATGAGAAATACATTTCTGCTGTTTATAAGCCATTCCATTTATGGTATTCTGTTAGCAGCCTGAACAGATTAACTCAAGTATACTGGGCCTGGCCCCTAAATCCCTTTTTAAAAAGCTTTAAGTAAACCAGGAATACAAGAAAATGACATTGGAAGAAAAGAAACACATTTATCAGTTGTAGATGATATGGCAATATACCTACAAATCTAATAAATTCAACAGATTGGGACAGGTGAGGTAGCTCACGTCTGTAATCCCAGCACTTTGGGAGGCCGAGTTGGGCAGGTCACTTGAGCCCAGAAGTTTGAGACCAGCCTGGCCAATATGGCAAAACCTCATCTATACTAAAAATACAAAAATTAGTCGGGTGTGATAACAAGTGCCTATAGTCCCAGGTACTCAGGAGGCTGAGGCAGGAGAATCACTTGAACCTGGGAGGTGGAGATTGTTGTAAGCTGAGATCATGCCACCGCACTCTAGCCTGGGTGACAGAGAGGGATTCCGTCTCAACAACAACAAATTTACAGACTGTTAGACTATTAAATTTTTAAAAATGGCTTTATATAAGGTGGAATACAGAAATAAGTATTACTTTCTTCTACTAGCATTGAACAATTAGAAATTAAAATGGGAGAAATCATATTCAAGATATTGTCAAATTAGTTTGTAAAACATCTAACTTACAAAAAGCACTATATATATATATTTTCATTAAAGGACATAAAATAGGAGTAAAATAAAAGATACAGACTAATAACTCCTCATGGGAGGAAGACTAAATAACATACAGATGCTGTTCCTTCCCAAGTAAATTTACAAAGATAATGAACATCTGATTAGGATTCCAGTGAACTGTTTTGGGAAATAGACAAGTTGGTTTTAAAATTCATTTGTAACAATGAAGTTAGTATTTGAAAAGAAGAATCAGAAGGGGAAATTTGCTCCCTAAGATAATACATAATTACTTAGATAAAAGTGGTTGGGTAATGGTATAGAGATAGATAAATAGATCAATAGATCAGTGGTACATAAGAGAGAATGCAGAAACAGACACATTGATATATGTGGGTTTATGTAGTGAATCTTATAATTTTATGTTGCCTGAACATCCATTTTGAACATTTAACTTTCTCTTATCAGTAGCAGAGTTAGTCTGTCTTGACACAGTTTCCAGTTCTATGCTCCCCCAACTGTCACACCCAGTTGCTCAGTGTTGTTGATCCAGCTATCTGTCTTATACAACTGCCTCCTGGTAACACCCTCCCTATGGGACAGCTGGATACAACCTACCTGACTGAACCTGCCTACCCCCATATCCTACATGGACTGTGCAGATGTGCTACAGTGATCACCTCTCAGTCACAGTGTGACCTGGAATTTGTGCCTGCTGCTTTGAACCCACTAACTAAAACTCTTGGGACATCTGTTTGAATAATGTCCTGGACTCCAATAAAGGGACTGGCCCATGGATCCCTCTCTCCACACACTCCCTGACCTGTGTGTGTATATGTGTGTACGCAATGCATGTGTGTGTGTGTGGCCTCCAGGCATACTGTGTACCCCCTGAACCCGTAAGTAGTCAAATATTTATTTCCATCTTGTAGCTCATCTAATCATTGAAGGATTGGTCTCCATCCAAAATAAATAAATAAATAAATAAATAAATAAATAAATAAATAATTCTAAGTTAAAACAGTTTAATATTATGATAAAGATAGTATTTTGAAAAAAAACAGAAACTTACTCTCACATTGCATGATATAAATATAACTTGTAGATGAACTAAACTTCTAAATGTAGAGAAAAAAACATTGTTAGGTTAACTATGCTGCAATAGCAAAAATATCTTAAGATCACAGTAGCTTAACATAGGAAAGGTTCTTTTTTTTTTTTCTCTTTTTTGAGACTGAGTCTCACTCTATCACCCAGGCTGGAGTGCAGTGGCATGATCTCTGCTCACTGAAACCTCCACCTCCTGGGTTTGAGCAATTCTCCTGCCTCAGCCACCTGTAGATCTGGGATTACAGGCACATGCCACCATGCTCAGCTAATTATTATATTTTTAGTAGAGACAGGGTTTTTCCATGTTGGCCAGGCTGGTCTTGAACTCCTAACCTCTGGTGATCTGCCTGCCTCAGCCTCCCAAAGTGTTGAGATTACAGGCATGAGCCACCACCCCCAGCCAGGAAAGTTTCTTGATTATGTGAAGTCTAAAGTGAGCCTGGAGACTCTTCAAGGGAAGCTTCCTTTCATGTGGTGACTCAGGGATCAAAGCTGCTTCCATTTTGTTCCCATAAAATTTGAACCATTTGGTTTCAAGGTGTATTGCTGAAGCGGAAGAGAGATCTAAAGGTTCACACAGGGGTCTTCATGATCAGGGGTAAAAATGACATAGAACTGCCTATGTCACCTCTGCCAACATCTCATTGGCTAGAATGAGTCACATCCATGTAATTTAATTGTGAAAAAGGTTGGAATGTAGTAAAATACATGGATATTAAGTCAGCATTAAATGTCTCAATCATAAAAGGTATAATTGTCAAGAATAGATATAATTTTTATAAACTTGGGGTTGAGGAAGGTTCTTCAGGATTATTTAGAAAAGAAAAAGCAATAAAGGAAAAACTAAATTTAACAATAGAAAAGTTTAAAAGAATTAAACAGTGAAGGATGCCAAAAACAAAGTTAAAAGGCAAGCAAGAGATTGAGAGAATATATTTGCCACACATACGAATGACAAATGTTAAAATTTCTAATGTGCAGAGTTTCTGTAAAGAAAAAAATATGCCAGGTGTAGTGGCTTCCACCTGTAATCCCAGCACTTTGGGAGGCTGAGGCAGGAAGATTGCTTGAGCTCAGGAGTTTGAGACCAGCCTGAACAACGTAGTGAGACCTTCGTCTCTACAAGAAATAAACAAAATCAGTCAGGCATGGTGATGCGTGCCTGTAGTTCCAGCTACTCAGTGGAGCTGAAGTGGGAGGATCACTTAAGCCTGAAAGATTGACACTGCAGGGAGCTGTGATTGTGCCACTGCACTCCAGTCTGGGAGACACAGTGAGACCCTATCTCAAAAAAAAAAAAAAAAAAAAAAAAAAAAAAAATTGACAAAGAAACCAATACAGAAAATAACAAGGCATATTAACAATTTTAAAAAATACAGATGGTCAGTGACATAAGTAATATATATATGAGGCAGTACATTGCAGTATTGTGGTAATGGCATAAAATTGAACACAATTTAATTTTCAATAAGAGTCTGACTAAATCACTTACAGTATGGCTATATGACAGAATATCATGTAGTCATTAAAGAACAACATGGATCTCTATACACTGACATGAACAAATATTCTTGATGTATAAGTGAAAAAAATGAGATGTAGATCACCATGGACAATGGTGATTGTAATTTGGGAAAAAATTAATGATATATAAATAAATAGATAAATAATATAAAACAATAAAAATATTAAAATATGACAAAATAGGGAAGGATATGGATAAAATTTTACATTGTTAATCTCTGAAAAGTAGGGAGGCATTCACTTTGTAATTCATAGAACTTTATTTTTTTTGGCTCAAGCTTTTAATACAAAAAATTCACCGGTGTACAAAAATGTGACAGTGTGACAATGACAACTATGAAATCCTGTGAATGAAAGTCCCCTCAAATGCACTCTCTGGTGCACATGCGGCCGCCCACACTAACTCCGGCGTGGAAACATAAACTAACGCAAACCAGTGCCACCAAGAAGCGCCAGCACGTGTGTTCTCCATTCCATCAATCACAAACCAATATCTACTCCAAACATCCAGTGAGGAAAAGTGTGGCATCTTCCCAGGAACAGCAAGGCAGACTTCTTACCCAAGATGGACCATCACAAATAAACCCAGCAAAAATAGCACTTCATACTTAAATTTAGGATAGTCATTCATGAGGATGGTCCCAATTCCAATACAAGAAAAATCCCCTGGCTCTCCCCATGACATCTTTTTTCTCTAGCGAATGTTGTTCTTGTTTATAGAGGCCTGGGTCATCAACCGCATTATTATCTCCTTTGGTCAAAAACTTGATATGCCCATTTTGTTTTTCATGAATCTTCAAGACTCGGTGAACTATAAGAATCCTTCTTCCTTCTATCCTTAAAACAGCAGTTTCTCCCACTTGTATGGGATCTTCAACTCGATTTGTTAGAAAGAGAAGATCTCCCCTATGAAATGCGGGTTCCATGCTGCCACTGAGCAGCACTACAATTGGACTTTCACTCCCAGTTATTACCATTAACCCCTTCCAGATCATTAGCGCCGATGAGACAATCATTCTGAAATTTAGGACTTGATAACAGAGCTGCTGCTTGTTCATCTGTGGCACATCATCCAAAAAGTCTAGAGACAGCATGGTGGGGATGGCGAGCAGGACACTGGCAAGGGAGACGGCGCGAGGACCAGCGGGCGGAACAACTGGCCTGTAATTCATAGAGTTTTCTAAGTGATAACTTTTGTCTTTTTGTGTTCTGGGCATGTTTTAAACAAAACCTTTAATAATATTCATTCATTCATTTATTTATCTACCCATCTATCCAACTATCCATCCATCTTTCCATCCATTCGAATTCTATCATACCCAAGAAACATTGATTACAAATCTATCTGTAGGCATTGTGTTTGCCATGCACATTGCAAGTAACACTTAGTTTGGCACAGCTTGGAATAAGAAGAAAAATGCCCCTGTGTTTTTTCCTTTTTCTTCTAGTTGACTATTTTAAAACCAATCAACAAAACATAAAGAGTCTGGTCCTGTGCTTCTTGCACACACCATCTGTTTTGGCTTCCCTGGCCTCTGGCCTTTGTCTGCCCTGTAGATGACAGATTAGTAGGGGACATCCTTTATAGTAGGAAATGGAGGTCAATAAAATTTGCACCAGGCTTTTCAATTTAGTATCATCCCAGTCAGGACATCCCAAAATAAAATTTGTTTTAAAAATAGATCTAGGAGGAGAAAAAAGATTGAAAACAAACAATTAATCCTCTTATGTCACTGATTCTGTGAGAAAACCCGATTTAAAAACAAATCAGTTTCTTGTTCAGGTGCAATGATTTTGCGGGTAGAAAAAAAGCAGAACAAAAATAGTGTAAAGAGTCCAGTGTGATAAAGGATACTATAGAGCAAAACAGGAAGTTGTTTAATGGAAGGGAATAATTGACCTCAGAGCCTGAGACGTGAATAGATCCTTGGATGCAGAAGTTTTTGCATTTGTGAAGTGTTGTATCGATGCTTTATTGACCAGATTTGAATTGTACACCATGGATTCTTTCTTTTTTTGAGACAGAGTCTTGCTCTGTCACCTAGACTGAAGTGCAGCGGCGCGATCTCGGCTCACTGCAACCTCCGCCTCCTGGGTTCAAGCAATTCTCTTACCTCAGCCTCCCGAGTAGCTGGGATTACAGGCATGTGCCAGCATGCCCGGCTAATTTTGTATTTTTAGTAGAGATGGGGTTTCTCCATGTTGGTCAGGCTAGTCTAGAACTCCCGACCTCAGGTGATCCACCCATCTTGGCCTCCCAAAGTGCTGGGATTACAGGCTTGAGCCACCCCGCCTGGCCGGACATTGTAAAATTTTACTCTGATAATTCAAGCAAAATTTCTCCTTGAATTAAAGAAGAGTATGAGGGAGGCTATTGTGAGATACGTTTTATTTTTAATCTCCATTTTGATCTTACAGGGGAGGAAATGAATGCTCAAAGAGATTGATTCTGTGATTTGTTTGACTTAGAGCCAGTAAGTAGAAGAACCGATCTCAAACCAGGTGTACCAACCCCAGACACTAGCAGAACATTCTCTTTATGTAAGGCCTCAAAAGCTTACTGGTTGGTGTCTGCTGACTTGTTTTTCTCTGTTATCTTGCCTGTCTGCAGTGACAAATTCAGTGCAGCTCTAACTCATGTGGACAGAGAGGAAATGATTCTAGGATTGAGGACTTAAGGGTGTTTGGAAGAGAAGAGGATTGTTTTGTTTTGTTTTGTTAGTTGTTGTTTTCCTCAGACAGGACCTTGCTAACACTTTCAAATATGTAGGCTGTTTGCTGTTTCCTTTATGTTGGTCCTTGAGAAGGATCTGCCCTTCTACCCTGTTTCCCTGGGGAGTGTGGACAGAGCCTTTGTCTTGGGGGAGGGGGGTTGTCTTGGGAAAAGGGGCACAGGGCATCCTTAGGACCTGCCCTGTCTAAGGAGAGAAAGCCGAACAGATGGCAGCTGCCACTCAGAGGGCACTTTGTGGGAACGCTGGCCAGAGCAGGCTTCCTGCGCTGCGATGCCAAATCCTTCCCTTCCAAGGCAATGCAGAGGAGCCTGATGTGGCTTGGGGCCAGTGGGCTTGTGGCCAAAGAGCACTAAATCAAAGCAAAAAAGAGGTGACACCTTAAAAGCAAACGACATTTCATGTTTGTTTGTTTTGGAAGGCAGAGAGAAATAAGTTGTAATTGCAAAAGAGTAGAAGATATGAAACAACATGGCTGTAAAATATTTTAATTTGTTATTTGTTTGTAAAAGGCTTTTCTTTAATGAATATGCTCTATTCTTATTAAGCATCTTTCCCAGTATTTCTCTAAATGAGGATGGTGAGTTTGTAAATTCTGGTTTTACCTGAAAACCGGTGACCTGGTGTTAGGGAGGCTCTTATCCCTTTAAAATAAACATAATGCACTAGTTTGTAATCTCTGCAGGTATATTAAAATGTTTTCAGTGATAAACATTCCTAGCTTTAAAGCTTTTATCTCTTATTCAAATTCAAGATCTATGTCCTTAATGAACTCTTTCAACTGGACATTCAAACATGGAAATTGTTTCTAGATTCTCATCTCCCATAATCAGCTGAGAATGGCTGTGAATTCCCAGAGAAAGACATGCTGCAGTCAGGGCTGAGCTTCTGCAGGGAATATTATGGGAGCATAGATCTTGGGGTACGTTTCTTCAGAACCCAGGGGACACCTAGGCACTCACTCATTTATTGTGATCATACCTTTAATCTTTTTTACTTATGTTTCAGGAATATAAGAAAATGTGTTTTAAAAGCATGAACACTCATACTTGCTGAGTATAATGCCTGACTAAGAAATAAGGCATTATACCTTATTAATAAGAAGAAAATGCCAAGCTACCAAAGCATACATTGGAAAGCAATATGATAGAGTAGAAATAATGCTAGCTTTATTGTTCCTTTACATTTATTAGTAACCTTTAATGAGCTTTTGTTTGTGTCAGGAACTGAAGTTGCAGAGATAAAACTCTGAAATTACAGGTGTCCACCACCATGCCCAGCTAATTTTTGTACTTTTAGTAGAGACAGTGTTTCGCCATGTTGGCCAGGCTGTTCTCGAACTCCTGACCTCACGTGATCCACCCGCCTCGGCCTCCCAAAATGCTGGGATTACAGGCGTAATGCAGATGATGAAAGATAACCGTTTCCTGTCTCAGATGTGATGAGAGACTTGTAAGAAACACACACACATGCACACATACACACATGCACACATACCCTCTAATATACTTCAGGAAGTGCTGTGGCAGACGGAAGCTCTGGGAACTAAGAGATCACAAGTAAAGGGAACCTAACCCAAAGTGGGAGCAGGGTTAAGCCAGGCAACCCTGGAAGGAAGGGTGCAGCAGGCAGGAGGAACAGCATCTGCTTAACTCTGGGGTGGGGCGGAGCACTTGCACACAGGCAGCTGCCATGAATGTGGCTGGCTGGTGTAGGCTGTGCTGTTGGTGGTGGAGAGGAATTGTGGAGGTCCTGGGTACCCACACCAAACAGCTGGGGCTTTCAGAGGAGACCCAAAAGTTCACATCTGTTTTCTCAGAGACTAAGGTGGAGATTTTTGCCTGGAGGGGTCTGAGGAGCACATTAGAAGCTATGCGAAGAAGCTCTTGAAATTGTGCCCAACATATTCGGAGTATGTGAGGGTGGGTAGGTGTGTGTGCATGTGTGCGTTTTCCCCTGGGAAGGTTTGCTTATGTTCTTTCATCTTAAAATGTGTCATAACTCTCAGAAGGGGTGAGGAGCTTGACTAGGACAGAAGAGGGTGGTCAGATTAGAAGGTTACTGCAATACTTCAGATGACTAACAATGAAGTCTTGGGCCGATAAAGTTGTCCTCGGGATGGATGGGCCAGGACAATTTCAGATAGAATAAAGATATAGTGCTGACACGATGTGTTATCTGATTAGACCTGTAGGGGGAAGGCGAGATGGAGGAAGCTGCCCAGTGCAAGGCCTCTCGAACTGTGACCTGCACCTGAGCTACCTGCGGCTTCTGTTCAAGTGTAGGTTCTGACTAGAAGGCCTGGGGAGGACCCAGAGATTCCTCATGGCTAATAAGTTCTCTGGTGATGTCCATGCCATGCCACTGGTGCTGAGCAGCATTTTGAGTCGCAAGGGTGGAGGTAGCATACTCTAGGTCCAATTCTCAACCTCGGCTGTCAACGCTTTCTTTCTTTAATGATTATGGGGCTTGGCATTGTGAGCATGGTAGGTGGTTGGACAGCATCGCTGGCCTCTGGTCATGAGATGACAGTAGCACTCCTGGGGATGCTGGGGAGACAAACAACCAAAAACGTCTCCAGGTATTACCAAATATGCAGGGGTGGGAGTGGGGGCAAGACACTGATCTAGAGGTTAACCGCTCTGGCTTCATGTTAAAATCATCTGGGGAGTTTTAGGAGCTATCAGTGCCTGGCCTCACCCAGACTGATTATATTTTAATCTCTGTTTGGGGGTTGGGGAAGGTGCCCACCCAGCTTTCAGGAAGTCCAGTGTGCAACCATCTCCATGGCTGATGCGGCAGCCCAGCTGATAAAACCCATGACTACACCTGAACGCAGGAACAGGAGCAGTGTGGGCGGGGAGGTGGCGTGAGGAGTGAAGATAAGATAAGGCTTCAGATTTACATGTTGATACAACGGAAATGCCTGGGGCTCATTCAGGTGGAGATGCTCACTTTGATTTTCTTGGTCACTGACAAGCTCTGTGGTCTTGGGTCTATGAAATATATTTTCAGGTTTTTCTTTTACCTGTCAGTTCTGATAGTGTCTACTCTATGAATAGAGTAGATTGACGAAAAGGTAAAATAAATGAATGGATGTGAAAGAAAGTAATAGCTGTCTTACACTATTGCACACACACATGCTCGAGGATTCTTCAGAATTTTATTTGAAAAATCGTATTTTTGAAAGTTTTGGAAAAGACAGAACAACATTTTATAATATCAGGGCAAGAAGTGATTTCTAGAAAAAAGAACAACAAACAAAAAGCACAAATCATAATTAATACATTCAAGTAAATTAAAAAGTACCATCAGGAAAGTTAAAAGACCAAGACTGAATGAAGGTATTTGCATAGCATATA